TTATATCATCATTCTTTCTGTACTAAAACTTACACGTCCTTTTTTCTTAAATAATATCCTTGTGTAAATTTTTTTGTAAGCCCTAGGTTTATTTTATGACCCATAAACTTTGACAATATATTAAAATCTTGGAGGAATTTAATATCAGTAGAAGATTATCTTTTAAAAAAAAAAAATCATTTCTCTGTGCTACAGAGACTTAGACGTATCTGGTATGTTAAAAGGTTTAATGGCTGTTTGTAAATTTTACTGCAACTGTCAATAACTTCATAATATATGGAGCCAGTTAATAGGTCAACGGGAAATATTTATATCTGGCCATAAACTGTTTACCCGAGAATAAACTAATTTCTGATGATAATGAAACATAAAAGTCAATGAGTATTAATTTTAGCATTTTACACTAATTTCAGCCCAGTTTCACCATTTGCCAGAAACACTTTCTGAGCAGAGGCAGAAGCACTGCTGTTTCCAAGCTCTGAGTGCATCAGAAGCAATAGGACTTCACAGCACTCGGAAGTGCAAACACTTCAAATGCAAGGAAGTCTGCAATGGTATTCCTTAGGAAACACACCTTAAAGGATCTTTTTCTCCTTTTGGATGAAGCAATTTCCAATAACACCCCCTCCTGCATGTATACAATGCAAATGAAAAGGCATTCAATGCCAGCCAACGGCTGGTGGCTCCATTCCTTGCCACCCTATGGCAGTCACAGCCCTGAGCCCCTGCACAGGTGAGGGCTGGCACACTGCCTGTGGCTTTCACATTACAAACATTGACCAATTAATTTTTTTATATTTAATGTTAGGCTTTATTAATCTGGTATTTTATTAATAGAAATTTTAAATATTTAATGCCAAATTTTCACACATAATGCTACAACTTATTAATCTACTAAATTTTATCAACATAATTTTGGTAACTTCCATTTCTCTCCTTCTCCCCCTTCCCCCAGATCAATTACATAATTTTAAATACATTGCCAGACCAGACTGAAAACATACAACATTGTCTGAGAGTGGGAAGTGCAAGAAGCATGCTTCCCTGTTCCTCCTCATTCCCTATCTGTGTGTTAAGTGCTGTGACCTTGTTTCCTCTGTTCATCCCTACTGGGGTGTCTGCAGACAGATCTGCAATCCAGCAGCCCTATGTCCTTCCCTAACGAGCTCTAATTATGCTCTATTTGTGTGCTGAGACCAGATTCAACAGCACATGACTCCACTGTTAAGAAACTCTTCCTCTGTTGCATATTCCTAAGGCACCTTATGGGATGCCATTCTGCGTATAATCTGATTTTTTCTCCTTCCAAATTAGTATCACAGTCACATAGCAAATTGGAATATGCATGTAGCTTCAACACTGATATGGCGTTTCCTTCTCCTCTTTCTGACACTTTTGATGTTGTTCCCTTTCATCGTCGTCACCGTCCTGCTTCTGCAGCAGACTTCACATCTAAGGCCTTGTGCAGGGCATAATTAGAAGCTGCAGGACCAAGGCATGAAGGTTGGGCTCTTGTTTTCCAGGCAGCAGCCCAGGGAAGGGCAGCTGGCTGCTCAGCACTCGCTGCTTGCCAGGGTTGCTGCCGATTCCACGGGGACACCCACCTTAAGGGGACACCCCCAGGCTGCCCACAGTCTGTGCATCTTATCTTGGCCACCTGGTCACCAGTGGGATGGACTTGAGGAAAACACAAACTTCCCAAAGGCACAGAGCTCCCCAAAACCTCTCCCACCTTCCTCCCAAACACAACTAATAACTAGGAGAAGGGAAAAGTCCCTCAGTGCTTCAGCAGAGCCAGAGGGAACTCCTACATGTAACTGCTGCAGAACAGGGATGTGCTGCTCTCCCAGATAACATTTTCAATGCCCTTAGAATGATAGAAACGGAAAACTCCAAATAATAAACTCCTGGCCTTGCACTGAGCTCTACATCTTACAACTGTGTGCCTTCTTCCACCCAAAAAGCCATTTTATCTTCATAATCTTACTACAGATGTTTTCCAGTTTGCTGTTGCATAGGCACCTTAATAACCAGAGCCCTCAAATGAGAATGAACTTATCTCAGAAAAGCACTGAGCAAATAATAGAATTTATTGCAATTGTGTAGCTGGCTGATGGAATTGCATTTGTATTTTTTTCTGGAAGGTGTCAGCATTGGGGAACATGAACTTTCTGTAAGAAAAGATGCATACCCTGCATCAGCACAAAAGGCACAGAATCACAGACACCTCCAGTCCATCCCAGCTGTCAGGACCTTGAGGAAATGACTCCAAAATGAGCTCCATCTGGGGATTCCACTTGGAGTCCTCTTATTCCCCAAGAGCCACCACCCACAGAGGGACATTAGCAGCCCTGAATGAGGCTTGCATCCACTGTAACAGCACTTTGTTCCTCAGTTAAGCTTGGCAGAAGCACAGCAATCGCTCCAATTGTTTGGTACCCCAGAAGGTGCCCCCCTTTTACCAACTCTTGTTTGGTGTGCTGGGTTCACCTGGCACTGTTTCAATGGGAAACTTCATATTTCAGCATTTTCAGGAGAAAAACATTCTCACTACTGTTAGCTCTTACAGTAATGCCAAAGGACAACAGGGGAAAAAAAAAAAAAGTGTGTTTATTTGAAACACTCCACTACAAAATGACAAAGTTCTGAGACAAAAGGTACCTCATCCTGCTGCCACCCCACTGGGCACCACACCGAGGGGGTCTCAGACACGAGTGCAATTCCTTTACAGTATCTTACATTCTGCAAAATTAGACACAGTCTACATGTTAAGGAGAGAGCATCAGATCAGCATTAGCTTTGAATTTCCTTGCTTTTGTCAGCCTCATTATTACAGCCTGGATGTTATTAAAATGCTGCTCTTCGTCTGTTAATCATTTCACTTCTCTATCTCTGCCACATGAACTTTAGAACACTGTGAAATGGGTTTTGTAGTTGCATGTTTTTTCAAGTTCATTGATCAAACATTTGTACATTTTAATGTTATAAATAATTGAAGAGCCTTCATTTTTCAGTGTTAAAATTAAGTTTTCTGTTCTGCCTTTTAAAACTAGAACAAGGGAAAGCGTAATTTAAGCCATGAAAAGGCAGCAAAATACGTGAAACTCTCTGTAACCCTTTTCTGTGAGCCTCTTCTTGTTTCACTTTGATTCTCACGAAGACTGAAGTGCGTGCAGGCAGCCCTTGACAGCCTCCTCCAGCAGGTTAGTAGCTAGAGGAATTCACCTATTTTCTGAGAAGGCTTTAAACACGGGGTGGGTACAAGGAGACTATTTGAAGCCACCCAGCAGGCTCAGGGAGCCTGGGCATAGGGAGGAGGGGTGCAAGCCAGGAAGAAGGGATGTTCAGATGAAGGACAGCTGCTCGTGTCTGAGTGCACATTTCCCTTCTAGGTGAACATATTAAATAGAGGTAAAGCCGCTGAATGAAAGAATCTGGAGACAACCCACTTCATGCTGGATATAGGGAAAATAAACCATAGGGTTGCCTCCAGGAAGGAGGAGGGCAGCAAGACACTAACTTTATTTCCTAGAAACAGTGAATGGCTCCCATTCTTGGTGCTCCCAGAGCTTCCTGCTATGCTAGAAGTTCAATTCAAGCATCTAGGCAGTCAACTGGAGGTAGCAAGAGGGTCAGTCTGCACCGGCTCCCAGAGAGGGCTGACAACCAGACAGATGAATTTGCTGCAGTTAGCGTGAAACAGCAGCGCTAATGACATCTGTCACATAAACACAGTCACAGAAGAGCAGCCTGCTAGTGTCAGGCATGAAGCCCGAGGTCTTCCACAAGATGTCTAAGCCTGACTAATTCTAGATCAAAGCCAACTTCTCAAGTCAAAGTCAATCATTGGTACTGCTGCTGGGTCAGCTGCTAACATGAATCAGCACAGAGCGAGCCTAACATTTCCAGTTTTTGGAGGAATACCACAAGCAGATTCTTATCCAAGATACCAGACTACACCCGACATCCTTTGAGAAATTACACTGAGAATTTCCAGAGGAAGGCAGTCCCATGAGAGGCGACCAGTGCTTCCTGGCTCTGGTGCAGATGGAGATGCTGTGAGAATGGACCCCAGGAATTGTCTCAGTGCAGTGAGCTGGCAAACAGCATTCAGAGCTCTTCTGTCCTGGTGGGAATATGGAGGCTGCAAGCAGAATTGATGCAGAACAGATTTGTGAGATAAGGTTTCCTGGAAGTTGGGGTGAAAACTGTGGATCTTTGCATGGGAAGAACTAAACCACGAAGACCGAATGTTTTCCCACTCCCTGACTGCTGTTTCACTCACTATGAATTTTATGAAAATTGTGTTGAGTGAAATCAAGATTTACTGAGAACACTAAAAGCCATGTTGATGGAGCAAGCTACTTGAGTGATTGCTCTGCCCAAGTTCATTTCAAAGCAAATTTTCCCATAGCCACAGCAATGCTGAGGTTGGTGACTGCTCTTCAGGGCAGAGCCCGTTACTCAACAGCAGCTTAAGGAAAAGAGCAGAGACACCACCACATTAAATCCAGTTTGGCTTGAGTTGTAAGCTCACACCAATCTGCATTCCGGAACCTATACTAAATCTGCAATTCCAGATTCAGTGTAATTGAACAACAGTTCAATTCTGCCTACAAATGGTGGACTTTACAGCAAGAAGATAACAAGAGAATTTGTATCATGACGTGGGCTTTCAAAGAGCTTTTTCCAACTGTAAACTGTGGAAACCATAACAGGAGCACAAGGAAGGTGAAATAAGAGTTGGCAAATTCTCCTATTCAGAAATTTGGAGAATTAAGAGAACAAGTTCCCTTAAAGCTAATTGCAGCTTTAATTTTTCTCTCTGCCTCCCCCTCACAAAACATCAAGGGTTGAAGGAGGAAACAGTGGGGGGGGGGGGGCGGGGAGGGGGGGAAATCAAAAGCATGCTGAGCCTGGTTGGAATGGCAGCTAGGGCAAGTTTTTGTTCTTGATATCACACTGTTAGCTCCAGGAGATCGGCAGGAATGAAGACTTACCTCATCTCCTCAATAGATAGTTAAAAAAAAAAAAAAAAAAGAAAAGCAACTTTCAGAAATTCCCCCAGGTTGAGCGTGTGTACAGTTCAATCTTGCAAAAATCCATTGCTGTATGTGCCATGCTATCCTCCTTCTCAGAGGGAATTTGGAGAGCGCTCCAGGCAGTGATGTGCTGACAGCAGGCTGCTCTGTGCTGGTTGGATACTGTGGTCCTCACCCTGCACATCCCTTCCCTTGGAGCAATGGGTGGGAATTGGCACAGGGCTGCCTTGCCCAACTACTGGGAGGCTGCAAAGAGCATTTCACAATTACTTCTTGATGCTACTTAATGGAAAGAATTGCCTGGTGGCGCATGGCGTTATCACCCCCTCCAACAAGCACTCCAGCCTTCAACATTAATCTCAGTGTTCTCAGCATCTTCCAAGCCTCAGTCCACAGGAGAGTTTCTCTTCGCAGCGAGTGGCTTACTGGTGGGGATGGATTAAAACAAATACAAGCAACACTGTATGGTAAATTCTTCTTCTTTGTACAACAGCTGTTTTGAATGTGTTATAGGATTGAGTAAAACCTCGCTTCCATATTCAAAAGGAGCCTCAGCTTTTTCAAGAGAGTCTGGCTCCTCTGCCAGGAGTTCAGCTGCTGATATTCACTTATTTAATTCTTCGCCAAACATGCAGAATCTCTGACAACCGTTTGTTTAAATTACTTACACAACTTGCTGGTTTAATCTTTTTTTCCCCTATTAATCTGTGACCAACCATGGAATTTAATATTTTTTACCATGACTAATGTATGAAATTTGTTAGCTTTGTATGTAATTTGCAGAGAACCCTGAATAATTGAACCTTTAAGTTTAAAGGCTTGTATTTTGTTATTCTAGCTGTGATTACTTGTAATGGTTTGGAGAACCTAAGATGCTTTAGTGAAGGGTACAAATAAAAAATAGCGAAATTAACCCTAGCCCTCCTTGTTTTCCTGTCTGCATTCAGCTGTAATTGGGAGGAAAAAAAAAGTATAGAGGAAAAAAAGAAAAAGAGCGACCATGGAACTGATGTACAAAAAGGATTGCAAGAAGCAACTTCTGGTACCTCTGCTATCAAATCACAGCCTTCTCATTCTCAATCCTTGTTTGATACCATACTTCTTGTACTGCATTGCCTACCAAACCTCTCTGCACTGCAGTCTGATCTTTAAATCACCTGGAAAATGCATTTCAATAGCAACAATGATGATAGAAAATAATCAGCATTTTTCCGCAGGCTGAGCAAGTTCCACATCCTGACATGGATCTTCCTCAGAGTCTATCACAACAGTGAAGCCCTCCTGAGCTCAGAGCTCTGCCAGTAGACCCCCAGGAGGACAGCAAGGTTTGAGAGGTGCACTTGTACAGGATGGAACCACAATTTTTCAGGTCATCCCTAACATAGACAAGCACTGCAGTCACGTTAGTAAATTGCACCATGAACCAGAAGGGAGACCCGACCAACAAGCTTATTGTCTCCAGTCACTGCCTGGGTTCTGGTACCTGAACTAAGGAACATACCTACCCATAGCACACCCAGACTACAACTTCTTTGCCAGGAAGATGCAAGGAATCTGATTCAGAAACAGCTTGCTTGTGGACCCATAACGACCCAGTATAGCCCAAAGGATGAGCTCCGGAGGACCAATTCCTGCCCTCCAGGTGGCAGGACAAGATGGAAGCATCATGGAGCATCAGAGTAGCACCAAAGCAACACAAGCACTTGTGAGATCTCTCTCCCAACTGGGAGAAGGGAAAGAGCACGACAAGCTGCTACACAAACACAGAAAAAAAGTCTTAGAAGGAAGCAGAATGCAAACTGATCTAATGGCACATTAGCCCTAAACCAGAGAAAAGCATGTAGTACAAAATGACTTCGAACAAGGGTTTTTTATATATATATTCCTCAGGTCATGTTATTTCTTTTAAATATTAATCAGAAAAATTGGAAAGCTTTATTATGAAGATGACAAATGCTACTGTGCCTCAAGGAAAGGTTGTGCACAGGATGTGCAAACTCTTACTTATTTGATTCAACATGGTGACTGTGGGCTGCACTTTTAATGAGGGAAATAAAACATCTTCTTAATTGGCTATAAAAGGATGTGCACCACAGCCTTACTGAAACATTAGGCTGAATAGTTAGAACCTACTTGGTAACAATGCCTCATTTTTATTAATATTATTTTTATTGGTTGCGAAATCTATGAGTTTATCTATATTAAAGGAACAAAAGACTTTTTTTGCCAAGGCAGAAAGAAAGGATATTCCACACAGGGTAAATTGAAAACACCAGTGTACCCTGTAGAGTAATAGCACTTTATCATGATTTGTACATGGGAACATAACTTTTGCCAAAAAACATAGGTGACCTCTCTCTACCCTGTATTAATAGTTACAGTATGGAGATGGAAGTATATGCAGGACACTCCTTTTTGCTACAAAAAAAAAAAAAAAAAAATAGTAGGGGGCTGTTTAAGATATGTGAAAAGGAGGCAAATCCAACTAGTAAGTGTTGACAGGCATCACATCTCATGCAATGAAAAACACATTATTGGAATTTACCCAAAACTTGGCTTTTATTCCAATCGCTCATATTAATTCTTTTAAATTGAGGAAGAACACACTCAGAACAGCCTCAATGGTCAGACTGTAGCAAACCCAGACCACTTCTCTGAATCCTGCTGTGAAACACAAGCTATCGAAATGGAGTGGCTAGACTGGATGGTGGATGACAACACCTGCACACAAAGCACAAAGGAGTTTGGGATCAACTCAGTGGGTTTTCTCATCTTTCTTTGCAGGCCCTCCAAACACCTTCCTCTTAAAGGAAAAAAAAAGGAAGAAAGAGGCTGTGGGCTCTCATTGGCTCACCTGGAAACAGAGATTGCTGTGGCTGCTACCAGCCTCCCTGCTGGTGAGTCTGAGCATCTAGCACATCCAGCATCCAGCACATCAGCCCGGACATTGAATTTAATAAATAAAAGAGCACCCTCTGGAACAGAGAGCAGAATTCCAGAGAGCATCACCTAGGGCTGCTCTGGCTTACAAATTTATGTTGAAATCTGTTAGCGATTGTGTTCATAACAGCTTTTATAAAGCACTGTAATTTACAATTTTAAACTTGACATGTGAGTGAGCTTCCTGGATTACACAGCACCACTGCTTTTGTCCCCAAAAGACAAAGCAGGAAGAATGCTCCCAACCTTCACAGCTTGCTTCCCACAGTTTCATATCCTTAGGCTTACTGAATCCCAAACCAGAATAAGCATCACCCACAGTGGATACACACACAGAGCAGAGCAACAGCAGCTTTGAATCAAGCATACGTGATGAAGAGTGCTAACTACAGCTGCACAAGGGAAGGCTGTCTGGAGCAAGAAGAGTGTGGTTTTTCTTCCAAAAGCCAAGGGGAAATTCACCTTCTTCATGGCTGAGACATGTCAAGGGACCAGGCAAGAGCAGCCCAAGATGCCCAGATTATGATGGTCTTCCTTGCATCAACCCCAACAACAAGAATCTTGCAGCATTTTCCCATCACACAGCAGATTGCACTACTGAAATTCCTTATTCTGAATTTTGCTTGGGTGATTTTTGTCTCACTGAACCTTTCCTTCCTAGGAAAATGCTAAACTAAAGCAGACAAGAGCAGACAGGTTTTCTACAGGTCCTTGCTGAGATAGTGCTCAGGAGCCTTCAGGAGGAGGAACCAGCAAGCTGAAGCTGGAAAACACACTGAGGAAGATAACAGCTCTTTGTACTGGGCTCACCAGCACCTGCTGAAGTGTCTGATCAGACTTACCCTATCCGAAGGTGCACTATTTGTTCTCTACAGCCTTGTAAAATGGGAGGACCACTAAAACTTGGAAAATAACTAGCAGTATTGTGAAACACAGAGGGAGTAGCTGAAGACTACTCCTAACTTCTTCAAGATCTTGAGAGTTCTTTTCTATGTCTGTTCCAGAAACACCACAAGATTCAATATTTGCAATTATGAACGAGTATTTTCACATGTCCAGTCTTAGCAGCAGTTATTCTGATAATAATTCATTGCTAAAATCAACACTCAAGTTCACTTCATCCTATTTCCAGCAATTAAAGCTACTTCAAATAGGGAATTTTAATTTGAGAAGTATAATAAATGTCATTCCTGTAACACGTACATTACTGTAATCTAATGTGAGTAAGAAGTCACTTGAGATGGAGACACGCACCAGCCCCTTTAGGGCTAGTGCCATAGCAGAGGCAACAAAAGGGAAACCGTCGTTAATCCATTGGAAATATCATGTTAATAAATGAAAATGAGATAATGACTTTTGTGGCTAGCTGAATCTTGTCTAAAGCCTCTTATGAGCTTCATGTGTCTCAATTAGAGACTATGTTACAAGGTAAAAAAATCAGCTGGAGGCTGAACACAATAAAAAACAAAGTTAAATAAGGAAATGTACTCTGTATTATTATTATTGCAACCTTATTGCCTGACCTAGAAGTTTCTCATTGTTGGAATCCACCCCGAGCTCCCATTATAGCTTCTAATTGGTATTTCAGGAGCTGCTCCCACAATGCAAGACAAGCATGACTGCAATTTGCTTCTATTCCTCCCCCCCCCCAAATTAAAGACCAGTCAAAGCCCATTTACCCCAACTGATTCCGCATCATATACACACACCCCTAAAAGATGTTACGTATGTATCCTTCATTAGATTATACACTCCTACAGTGTCATCTCTGCAGTCCTTTCACACTACAGACACTTATTTTGGAGAAAACCCACACCTGAGTTAAGCAGAAAATTCCATATTTCTGCTCACGGCTTATAAGGGAGGATGATCCAAAGGCACTGGGGGAGTAGCACTTGGGTCACACTGGCATTCAGAGGGATTTGTTTCCTTGAACCATTTTGGCCCCTTTCAAAACCCTCATCCTGTAACCACACAGCAACTGACCGCAAGCTTCGGGAGGTGTTACATCATGGGAGCCATCACGATTACCTAAATCGCAAAAAGAGCATGGCTAAGGTCAAAAGTTCCTCAAAAAGTCTAATATATACATCCCCAGAGGAGCCAGCTCTGTTCACCTTAATCCTGAATCAACACCGCCTGTGTAAGTACAGGCTGGCTGGAGCCCACACGAGGTCCTGCAGGGGCTTACAGCGAGATGC